AACTCAAAGCAAGCCTGTGCTTTTATTCCCCCCCCCCCCATTTCCTGCACTTTATACTTACCTTTTCTTTAATACCCCATACTACATTTAGCACTGGGAGCTAAGGAAATACCATAAAACTGAGTATGGAGAAACATACAACTCATTCCATGTGACTGTGCTGCCAATGAATGACCAATGTTACACGAGTCCTGTTTAGCCATCCTATGGCTAAACAGAGTATGGGCAAAGCACAGATTGACTTAAAACGAATATATTCATTTTTATTCAGCTGTTGCGTGTTTTGCTTTTATTTGTGATATCTATATACTTTAGCTAAAATGTATTTATAATACAAAACATACTGTACATATGCGATCATCCTTATTTCACTCAATACAGAGTTAGGTAGAGTTTCCAACTAATACTATGTTTGGGTACATTTCTTTGTAGTTTAGTAAAATAATGTCCCCAAATAAATTAAAGATTTTATTACCTTTTGAAGCTTACATTTTAAAAAGGTATTACAAACCTTAAAAAGGTATTAAATGTATTGATACAAAAAAGCAAATTCAGTAACTAACAGTATTTGTTAAAATTCATCTGTCACTGATCTGGCTCCAGTAAATTGATGCTTAATTGTGTTTCCTTTGACTGTGACATTGGCACATCATGATGTGTACATTTTTTAAATGAAATAAATCCCTGTATACAGAGAATTAAAAAAGAAATGTACATACATACACAAATGCACACACATCATACCTTGTAGTTCTGCAATGTCCTTCTCTTTATGGTTAATATCCTCTATAAGTTGTTGCTACAGAAATAATATACATGTATTAACATATATTTTTTTTATCATACAATAGATAGAAACACTTAATGATGTCTGCTTTTATTTTAAAAGGCTATAACAATTATTCAAACATGCATTATGAAAGATAACATATTACAAATATTTTGAAGTGCAAAGCTTTCTTACAACCAGCAGGTGTCAATGTTTTAATTGTTATATGGATAGTTGATAGAGGCCTGCATATCAAGTAATATTCAGTTTGAAAAATATTTAACATTTATCCACATTAATATTTTGGTCTACTGTAAATTTATCTGTATTGCAGTAAAATTAGCAATATTAGAAAAACATGTATGAATAACTTTGCATTGTTTTTAGTTTAGAGACCATAATATAGTTCTAAAAAATGAAGATTCAGTTCCTTTGGTCTCACAGCACAACATATACATGATGGATCTTCTCCCCCAGACCCCTAATAGTGTGCCTTTCTATTCTCTGCACTCTGGGCCTTGGCCAACATACAGTGAAGGGAATTTATCCAGACATCCCAACCTGTAAAACCTTATTTCAGGGAGATGTCCTTCTCATTTCAGGGACGTGTCCTTCTTTGTTGTTTTTTTTTTATTATTTTGACAGCGGCCACCGTCAGAATAAAAAAACAACTTGATAGCAGGGGAATGAATAGCTAGGCTGCTATTGGTAATTTCCAATTGCAATAGCCAATAGCAGGCTCGCTCTTGTACCCACCCACTGCTGCTGTCAATCAGTAGAGGAGCCCCTCAGGTCCACCTCTGTTGATTGACAGCAGCAGCATTTAATGTTAATAATCACAAATAAAATAAAAACATACTTTAATCAACAATAACATAAAAATAATTTAATAACAATAAAATGCTATGATACCTACTATGTATGTGTATGTGTGTGTGTGTGTGTGTGTGTGTGTGTGTGTATGTATATATATATATAGTGCAATATAAATGGGTAAGCCGTATTAGTCCAGTAGACAAGATGTCAAAAAAGACAAAAACGCAGTATTGCAGTGTGCAATGATACCTTTCTTATTGGACTAACAAAATATATAAAAGACAAGCTTTCAAGAGTGAACCTCTCTTCTTCAGGTCAGGTCAGGTATTGCTTCTATATATATATATACTATATATATTCATAGTAGATATCATTTTATTGTTATTTAATCATTTTTACGTTATTATTGATTAAATTATGTTTTTATTTGATTTGTGACCATTAACATTAAATGACAAGACATGCGGTTACAGGCACCTTGCCTGTGCATTGTGTAAAGGTGGCTGTGCTATTTGTGTGAGATGAATTGCAGCACAGGGAGTTCCCCTCCACAGCTCAGCCAGCAGCCAACATTGGGAAGTGTGCCACTCATCGTCCCTGCCCCCTCCACAGGCGTCTTCTATCGGCTGCCCCCTGAGCTAGCTCAGGGACCTCTGCCTCCAGCCAATCATGGGCCACCTGGCCGTGCCTAAACCCCTCCCACTGACCAGCCACCGTTTGCAGGCACGAACGACACTATTTTTTCCCCCTGACCACTAAAAACTGTATTAATTCTCAGCAGAACTAGTGAGCGCAGCAGACCCGGAAAGGTTTAAAACCTTTCCGGGATAAAATGTCTCTCTTGCGGGCTCTGCTATCTAATAGCGGGAGACTCCCGGAACGTTCAGGAGAGTTGGGATGTTTGTTTATCAGAACTGGAGCAAACAAAATCTGGAGCAGTTGCCCCTAGCATCCAATCAGCTTCTCTCTTCAGTTTGTTCAGTTAAGATGTGAAAATGAAAGAGAGAAGCTGATTGGTTGCCATGCACATCTGCTCCAGATTTTGTCTACTCCAGTGTTGATAAATTCCCCTTAGTATATTTGTCACATAAAAGACAGTCACAAGAGTATGCAGTACACTGCCTTCTCCATGCCCAGTTCAGGATGGAATAATGTCCGATTCAGACAATTGTGTGAGTTATTTAAAGCAGGGCTTCTTAAACGGTGGGTCGCGACCCCATATGGGGTTGCTTAACTGAGTGTGGGTGTCGCAACAAAAAATCCGTATCCCCGGCAGGGATCGGCAAGGTGCCCGTACACAGACACCCTTGTCTGTGAGTGGTACTTGCGGGGTCTGCCATCACGGCGGCGTACAAGGCTAGGGTTGTACCTTGGTATGGTCCCGGCCCTGAGCCCCCCCCTGTACAATTGGTAATATTGGTACCTTCCAGTGTACGTGCAGGGGGGGCAGAGCTTGCCTTTTAGCAGGCTGAAGCGCTGCAGAGCAAGGTTGGACTCGGCCGGGAGTGAAGGCTGCTGAAGTGGAAAGCAGACATCCACTTTGGGGCTGGGTTAGCAGGGTAACACAACACAGAGGTTCTTCTAACCCTTCCCCATACTATCCAGAGCAAAAAGTAAATAAAAAATTCCCGAGGAGTTGGGCTTTAAAAGTAATTTTTTAAATTGCAAACTGTGACTGTCCAATCCTAGCCCAGGTTGTCAGGACAGAATCAGACTATGTGTCCAACCTAAGCTCTGCTCTTGCTTACAGTTTCCTTCAAAGTCTTTTAAACCTTGTGGGAAAAAAAACAACTTCATCTCATTAGTATGCAAATTTGCTTTTATCTTTAATAAATGGTAAAATGATATGTATACCAACGGTTGTTTTAAATTACATTTCTTTATGATTTATTATCAGTAATTTTTTTTGTATACCTGTTTTGCATATTTATATACCCGGGTTCGCGTAAAAATGTCCTCGTGCCACAAAGGGTTCACAAGTGGAAAAAGTTTAAGAAGGCCTGATTTAAAGCACTAGCACTGCTACATTTTCCACATTCCGCTTGCAGCTTATTCATTCCTAATTTATTTATCATATTAACCCTGTCATGCTTCAATGGATATTTATGGGACTGCGGAAGAAAATGACATCTTCCATAAAGGCAATGCTGGGAAAAGAAGCATAAAAACTGGAATAATAGTATGGAGGCAGAATTGCTAATTGGCTGAATCCTGAAAAGAAGTTGGATACAGGCTCAAGGTTCAAGTTAATATACCCTGTTTCCCCGAAAATAAGACCTACCCTGAAAGTAAGACCTAGCACTATTTTTCAAGATTCCTGTAATATAAGACCTACCCCGAAAATAAGACCTAGTTTGGTGGTAGCATGTGAGGGGGAACGTGAAGAGCAGGAGAGATGGTGTCAGCCTGCAGGGACATGTTGTATTAAGGGGATGACGGGGGACTCCCTCCGGCCAGCGCAGTGACAGGGAGCACTCCAGTACCATACTTCACCAACTGCTGTCCCCCTGAAGGCACTGCATAATGTAATGGTACTGTACTGTACTGTGTACCGGTAAATGGTACTGTTCTTTACCGCGCTGTCCACTGTCTGATGTCCCCATTGCTGCACCACTGTTACCACTGTCGCTGATGGCAAAGCATGCCAGCGCTGCATAAAGCAAGGCTTCGGCAGCGGAGGGAGCAGAGCCGCATTAGCCGATATTCCTCTAGAGCGCCAGTTACTGTGACAGGTGGAGTGATACCACATAACTTTAGATTGTTGTACATTTTGTTGCACAGTAAAAAAGAAAAAAAAATAAGACATCCCCTGAAAATAAGACCTAGTGTGTTTTTGGGGGGCAAAGAAAATATAAGACAGTGTCTTATGGTACTTAGGCCTCATTCACACTGGAATTGGCCCGCGCGTATAGCTCCGTGCTGCGTGCAGGGCCGTACCGAGCAGCTCCTGGGAAGGACAGGTGCTGCGTGTGATTAGTACGCAGCCCCCGTCCTTCTCTATGGGACTACGCGGCCTTACGCCCCCCTATGCTCACCCGTCCTGCACATCCATGCGGGTGAGCGTACCCGTACGCTGAAAGGATGGATCCTGTCTGCGTCCGAGCCAGAAAACACGCACCCGTATGGACCTGCGCTTGAGGTGAGCGTAGAGGGGCATACGGCTGCGTAGTCCCATAGAGAAGGACGGGGTCTGCATACTAATCACACGCAGCACCTGTCCTTCCCGGGAGCTGCCCGATAGGCCCTGCACGCAGCACGGAGCTGTACATGCGGGACGATTCCAGTGTGAATGAGGCCTTAAAATATTCTGCTGATTCTTAAATCCGGGACACATGGGGCGGGGTGGGGGGTATGATAGAGGGCACCTCCCTGAAATGACATTTTGTATGTTGTGATGTCTGAAATTTACCTTTTCATTTTGAAACTTTGCATTTTGCTGCTGCGATTGAAACGTGTGCATTTCTTGTATCCTCTTCTTTTCTTGGTCTGCGGCTTCTAGTTTTATCTGCAGTTGGGCTTCCTTGTGTCGTATAACTGATCTCTCTGATGCAGCACGTTGTGTTTGCCTTTCCACAATGGCCATGTCTGTCTGAAAAAGAACAAATAATATTGATTGAAAGTATTAATAAAAGATTTGAATGAATATTGAAATGGATAAAGAATGCAAGGCTAAATAAATAAGAATGATCAAATGTATGTATTAGAGATGCATAAAAACAAAAACTGTTTTTGGTGGATAAACAATCAATGTGAATATTACATCCCATGTAGAAATATTAATGTAAAGCTATTAATGATAAGTGAAGAAAATGAACACACTGTATTGAAAAATGGAAAATGAGGAATTTTTTGAATATAATAATGCAATGGAAATTAACTGTATTTTATGGATTTATAATATATTTTGTATAGAGTCATTTCATGGACGAATATTAATTTATATTGTATTATATGTTTAGAAAACAGATTATTGCTGAGAATCGATATATACAAACAAACGAAACAAACATCCCCCTGAAGAAGCCTTTTGGGAGCATAACGCGTAGGGGATTTATATAAGAATGCCATACATGTAAAGAACTATATGAAATTTAAATATGACCATGAGTGTATGAACTATCAAATGCAATGTGATTTGTAAATATGCATATCAGCAATAGTCCTAGGGTTAGAGAACCAATAATTTGAGACACACATAAGCATTACTTTTAGTCAATTGGATGTTTTTTATTGAATTGCATAATTTTGAGAGAAAAACAAGAATCTAAATAAATATTTATTAATCATATATATCTGAGTCCTTTCTAAACACACTCCATCACAGTATTTATATTGTAAACGGTTTTCTAATTAATAAAGGGTTAAACTGTCCTAAGGCCCAAAAATGGTGTAGTATTTTTTTCTGAGATAAATAAAAAAAGTGTTAAAATGCATTCATAAATAAGTGGAAGTAGATTCGGCTCCTTGAGCTACATGGGAGATTCTCAGAACTTTCTAGCCAACTCCATTGGCTGGGACCCTGGATGCTAATAGCCTATTACCAGCATTACACTGTGGTAACTGCAACACAAGGTAGCAATCACTATGTGCATTGGTGTGATGCAATAACATTCATTCTTAATGACACCCCAACACAACTTGAAACGGGCATGTGTTGCAGCACGGTACTAATGTGTGTTGCAATGCTCTGCACTGCCAAAATGCTACATGCGCCCTGTTTGTGCTGCGCTGCCCATTTAAATGAATGGGATACCTTGACGCAACACATATCGCAGAAGCCTCAACTCTACCGGACGTTCTCCATTGCTGAATAATCATGGGCTGAGTTACAGTTCTTTATAATTATATTATATGCCCTAAAATCATTATTCTGTATTGTTGCAGAAAAAATGTCACATGTCCCTTTAAGATAAAGTATGGTTGAGACAAGGTTGAGACTTTCAGCAAAATGCTGAAATCTGCCCGCAAAAAATCACAAAAAAACGACCACACCGAAAACTGGCCACAGGCGCCGCTTTAAACGCTTTTACTGCTCACCAGTTTAGTGTTATCAGTGATTAATGGCCCAAAAATGATTACTCGCACTCTGACGTTTGTGGTGATATGTAACATAATAATAATAATAATAATGCGGCATAATAGGTGGAAACGTCGTTTTTGCACGTCGGCGCACCCAACGCATGTTTGCGTGTGCATAGGGGGGGGGGGACTTTAAAAAAAAATTGTGTGTTATTTTTTTATTTTTTATTTATGACTTTTTTTAGCTTCTTTATTTTTTTAACCTTTTTTTTTACACTTAACTTTAGTTCTATCACATAGGGGGCTAAGTAGCCAATTCACATGACAGGTCCTCTTTATGGAGACATCAGGGGTCTCCAAGACCCCTAATGTCACCTAGAGACCCCCAGAGAAGCTTGCTGTCATTTCTGACAGTTTCCCCACTCGTGTGCGCGCTGGGCGCCACGCACGAGCCTGTGGAGGGGAAGGACGTCTTCAGACGCCCTCCCACTCCTATAAGGCTCCCGTCCGGCCGTTCTGGAACAGCCAGGGATGGGAGGTGGTTACAACAACACACGTTAAAGCACACCATAACACATGTGTTAACGCACCACGATGGTGTGAATGGGCCTACTGTATAGTGAATGAGTCTAAAGAGAGAGGACAGCAGGAGTTGTTTCCTTTTGGACACATGGAAAGAGCCAAGTGAAGGCAGGGGAGAGAGGGGGATGAGTCACTTGTCTGACAAATTCCCTTGTGTGCGTACATTTTGGTTTAGCCTTTTTTTACAAAGCATCTATGGCTGCTGAAAAGGAGCCTAAAGTTCTACACGTTAGCCGGGTATAAGAATACTTGAAATATATATGCAATATTTCATATTTTCACAGCTAACAAATTATGTTTTTTAGTCATGTCCATACTAAATAAAATGCAGCAGCATATTTTACAAGAGTTGTCAACGGTAAATGAGGCTGCTGTAGCGTGATTGGCTACCCCAAGAGATAAAAATGTAGCAAAGAAGATACAGTATACATGTATAAATGCAGATAATGAATTAATTTCCTAGATTGGCCAGTCAACCTATCCATTAACGTAAAAAGTTCAGACACTCTACAGCCAGTGTAATGGGTCATAGAGGTAATAGTATGTGTAACCTAAGTTTAGCTTAGTGGATAACATATGTAAGGGTCAGGCCTCTGTGCAAATGCCTTGGAGTGCTGGTGATCCTTGTATAAATGCTTCACTTTTACTAGCCACCTTCATTTGTCTGCACTGGTACCGTGGGTCCTCTATGAACGTAAGCACTGGATTATCTTGTGTTAACAAGGTGATGTTCCCCTGCGAGAGTGAGCAAGGAAATATGACGTAGTCAAGAAGAGTTGCCCAAAGTTGTTGCCAACCAGAGCTGAGCATGAAAACTAGAATATTGAACAGAGATGTTGTCATGAACACAGCCAAAATTATGGCAGGCAGAGAAGTAGCAAGGTCAGGTCAAGCAAGTGGTTTAATCCAGGCAGCCAAGCATATCAGAGGTAGGAATGAACAGGACAACAGAGATCAGGCTTGAAAACGATACAAGGTTTAGGCAGACAGTATGTAGAGACCAAAAGTCAAAAGTGCTAGGAGACATGAAAAGCTACATGTATGGACTCTGGTGTTGTTTTGTACATGTGTACAACTCCACTGAATAAATAAATAAGGTAGTTATGTTAGTACCAAGTCAGCAGGGGTCACAGGTAGCAATCATGATCTAGGGGAGGACAGGTGGAACAACAGCAGGAAAGGTAAGCATTAACAGAAGGACACGCTGAGCCGCAATGCTCAACACTAGGGAAGGTCCGCCGGTTCGATTCGAACACGAGTTTGAATCGAACATTGGCTGTTCGAACGTTTGCCGAACGCCGAACTTTATGGGATGTTCGCGGTCTGCTCGACCGCGCAACGTCCCACAAGGCAAAACACCCTCCGAAGCTCTAATTTGTTAAAGTCTTGCACCTGACCACAGGTCAGGTGCAAGACTTTTCCCAATCAGAACTCAGTACTCATTTGGAGCCATGATTGGGCAAAGTCATGATGACTCTGCCCAATCATGTCTCGCCTATCAGATGACGGCAAACGACACAATTGGGCGGAGCTAGCTTTTACTGCTAGCTCCGCCCAATTGTTTATGTTTTGCCGCCATCTGTCAAAATGCCATCATTATGCGCGGGAGTCAGCGGGGAGAGGATGGGACGGCAGACGTCGTTTTTTAAAAATTATTGTTATTTCTATTTATTTTTTATTGTTTTATTTTTTATTTCGTCATGATTGACCCTGGATTACATCGGTGGATCCATTTTTAAAAAAAATAAAAGATTTGTCAAAAACATGTCTTGTTTTTTTTCCCATTAAAGGATTTTATCAAAAGTCTGGACTTTTTAATAACGATTTTATTTAACCCTTTAGTGAATGGTTAGGGGTACAAGTACCCCTTACTTATTCACAAGGGAGGGGGCGGCATCTGGGTGCTGCCTTAATTAAAGGGGTACCCCGATGTAAATAAGCCCCCTTGCCCAGAGACCCCCACAACCACCAGGTCAGGGTTGTGGGGACGAGGCCCTTGTCCCCATCGGCACAGGGACAAGGTGCTTTTCCAGGGGTAACCCTGGAAAGCACCCTCCCAGTGCCGGGGGAATGTGGCCTGGGGTGGGAGGGAGGGGCACTCGCTCGTTCTTGCCCCCCCTTTCCGGCCCTGCCATACCTATGCTCGGATCAAGGGTCTGGTATGGAATTTTAGAGGGGACCCCACGTTTCCCCCCCCATTTTTGGGGTGGGGTTCCTCCTTAAAATTCCTACCAGACCTTAATGGCCTGGTATGGCTTTGAGGGGGAACCCAACACACTTTTTTTTTGTACATGGTGCCCCTCCTAAATATTCCTACCAGTCTGGTATGACTTTTAGGGGGAACCCTATGCTTTTCTTAAAAAAAAATTTGCCCTCCTAACATTCCTACCAGACCTAAAGGGTCTGGTATTGTTTGGGAGGGGGAACTGCACACTTTAAGAGTAAAAAAAAGAAATCATTTTTTTTCTTTAGAAATTTCAGTTTTGCCGAAGCAGGTTCTATACATCCTGCAGATCCGCCACTTCACAGGCACGTTAAGGGGACCCCCCAGGCACGATATTTGAAGGAATTTTTCATTTTTATTCTTACCCTTTAAATTATGTTAACATCACTGCTCCTTTAAAAACGTTTTTTTCTTTTTCTTCATTGATTCATGTCCCCCAGGGCAGTACCTGGACCCCCATACACCTTTTATGGAAAATAACTTGCATATAAGCCCTCTTAAAGGGGACAATCATTTTCGAAAGTCCAACCCACATTGACTTGCATTAGGTTCGAGTTCGTATTCGAACTTTTTGCCCGTTCGTACTCGAACTTTTCAAACACAAGGGTGTTTGAATACAATCCAAACACGGGCGTGTTCGGCCCATCACTACTCAACAGCAGACTTTTTTGCCAAGCACCAGTAGTAGTAAATGATGGAACTTGCTCTCAGCTCAGGCCTTTTAAATGGAGAAAGGTCTTCATGAAGCCTTTCCAGAATAAGGC